CTGTGTTTGGCGCAGTGCGTGAAGTATTCATGCATTCTTGTAGGCGCTATCCGTTTTACGCTGACCGCAATGACCGCACTGTGTTTGATGCAATGCGTGAAGTATTCATGCGGTCTTGTAGGCGCTAATATGTGTTACATGCCGATCGCCGGGCCGAGGGCTTCTCCTTCTCATCTCAAGTCCTCGTTATCATTTCCCTCTAAGTCGCGCCGTTCTAGGCCAAATTGCGTGTCTGGTTTTTCTCGTGACTCGACTTATTGAGGGTGCTGTCTCTTGTATCACTAAGAAACGACAAAATTAGAAATTACTATTCTCTCAGGAAATGAGGGATTTTGTCGCCTTTTCTCGTTTGTAATTTTGTTTATATAAATCCGATTTTTTTTTATACCTACCTACACTTTAAAAAATTGCAAATTTTTGCCGCCACTTAGATTTGCCGCCATGGGCCGCTGCCCATGTGGCTACCCCCTTAATCCGGCCCTGCTCTTGTGAGTAGAATATTCTAGTGATATGCGTAGAATTTCTTCTCATATGAGTAGGAATTTTATTCATATGTTTAAGTAGGAAGTTCTACTCAAGTGGGTCGGCGAATTCTGAATAGCTTACTCGTCATTTTTAGCAGGGAGATACTTCAATTCAAAATTCGACCGAAAGTATCGGACATTTCAAATAAAAATATTCATGTGTTTGCTCAAAAATAAATATTTTAACGGGAGAACTTTAACAAAATTGGAATTTTCACATGGTGCGTTTTCCTGTAAGTAGTACTCCTTAGCCCAAACCTTTGATTTTTATGATACACTGCGTGACTGTGCCTGCCTATGACCTATTGACCTCCATGTCACAGAAAAAGGTAGGACTCTGTAGGTGCCCATTGATCCTTAAACGCACTGAAATATAATGTCTCTAAATTCTGAGTCGTGCTTTTGGACAAATTCAACCAAAATCAGCTTAACTACATCAGATTTTGCCCAATTCTCATGTTTTATTTTTTTAGCAGAAAACTGAGCGACTCTGCCTTTAAATCGTGTAACTACATTCTGATCATAATCTCAGAAAAATTCAGAGGAGGTTTCAGGGAGTTTTTTTTTATTTTTTTATTTTTAATTCTCTGTGAAAAAAATAAAACATGAGAGGAAAAGGAATGCAGTTAGGTTCGGTTAAATTCATCCATTTAGAATTGAAGCTTTAGCGATTAAAGATTTACATTTTTCGCACCTAAATTGTGGAGTCACTATAGGTGGGAGGTTTGAATTTTCTTCCCTGGAATATGAATTTGAAACAATCAATTTATCTCCTATCGATAGGGAAGTTAGAAAATTCGCATCTCGATACGTGACGTCGTTGATTTGCCGAGGGTTGGGGGGAGGGGGTTGGCGGCAACTTACCATTACTGTTGCGCTAAATTTCGTGTAAGTAGTCGATCCCCTTTTGCAAAGATTTTTTGGAATTTTCGTGCAAAGAAAGCGTCGTCTAATGTTGCCTTGAAACTTTAATAATTGAATGGAACTCCGCAACAGAAATTCCCCTTAGATAGCGCAATAGAACTTTTTATTTTCCTACTCTCACCATCGAAACATCTTCATAAATTAAATTTGAATTTTGTGGTATATTCTTACCATTGGCATGTATTCATGAATTGCATGAAGCTATGTTGACAATGAGACATGTGTTATGAAGCTTCAATCCTGACCCTGCCTTGGGGTCCACTTGATTAGACTAGTCTAATTGGGAGTATTGTAGGTCAACAGTCCGATCAAGCGATACAAAAGATGCTCTACATCTATATCTACATCTAAATCCATAGGAAAATTTATAATACATGCGAATCATTCTCCTCCTCTCGCCAAACTTATTTCAATCGTACGTAGGCAAAATTACTGGTTGCAACTGTCAATGTCTGTACCAACATCAGAGCTCACTTACATCAACATGATGATCTCAACCTTGGGAACCCCTGTTGAAGAAAAAACTGGCATAAATTGAAAATACCCAATCAATTTATTGATAACCGTGGATTATTTTTCCATTACCGCGAGTTCATTCATCATTGTATGGAGAGTAATCAGGCTATTTATCTTTTTTGCGTGTTTTTACGCTGGACTAAATCATTTCATAAATATCTCAAAACAATTGGGATTTGTCTGTAAGGGATCAAAAAATAATAATATTTACGATGGATACCAACTCGTAAAGATCCAATGACATCGGATACGTAGATAACCTCTCGGATACTTTTTACCGTCTGTTTGTCTTCAATTCGAAAGCATCTCATCTGCGTCTTGTTTTCCAACGCATCCGTCACTAAAAAATCTGATCGTTGGTCCGCAGTGGGTCATGTTCCGCATCACTTTGAACAATGAAGGCTTTGAAAATCACGGATATATAGCGAATTATTGCACCATTGCTTTGGGTAAAATCCTGATAGAAAATCTTTTGCCTACCATTTAGTACAAATTTCGGAACCAGGGACATCATTTGAAGATCAAAGTGTAATAATTTTGATTTTTTAATTTAAAAATTACGATGTATCTCAGTAAGTTTTCGATGTTTCTTGAGCCCTGAGCGATGCCCACCCTTTTAAGAGTCAGTTGAAATACCCTGCAGGTAAAATAGCATGTGTTGAGTTAGTAGCATGTGCCTGAGGATGCTGAGGTCAATTTCTTAATTAAACGTTTTTATTTGATTGTAAATTAGTTTTGCGCATTACCTATATTCGAATATAATCTTTTCGGCATAGCTATCTTTGAAGGTTGGCATCAAATGCAGGAGTATCGTCTAAACTTGGTAACAACCGCCTCCCACTAAAGTCGCAGACATTTTTTTCTGGTTTCTAATGCTCTCAGAGGGACCATTGTCTATTACCTCTCTACAACAAGGTACTCTACTATCGTTATATCGAAAAGCACCGTACGCAAGTAGCGCAGGTTGTAATATATTTTTGCGATTAGTACGAGGGGCGTTCAATAAGTAAGTATCCCCCCTCTCTAAAATCCATAAGAATGGACCAATTTTAAAAAACTTGGGCTCAAAATCTTCCTTAGGATATTTTGAGTTCAACAAAACAAACCGCAACAAAATCGGACTATGTGCGGCCGAACGCGAGCCGTTTGAACGCGCCGAGGCGCTCGACGCTCCCGCCGAATCCGCGAGGATTTGAAGTCCCTTTACAGGAGAAGAGCTTCTCTGCCAAAGCCTCAGTCGTTCATCACTGACGAAAAATCAAAGAAATTTTTGTAGAATAAGGGGCTTACCTCACTTCTCAAAATAACCAGCTCGATCCAAGCAAGTCTGATACTGAGACTAAGACTAAGAGAACAGCTTTTGGATGCCTCGTGCGTGGAAGTCTTTCAGCTGACCGCGGATGAAAGAGTGGACGGCTTGTTTGACCTCTTCCACTGATTCAAAATTAACTCCTCCGAGTTCAGATTTCAGATATGATAATAAATGGCAAACCAGACCACCATTTATTCCCGTTCCTGAAATCTGAACTCGGAGGAGTTAATTTTGAATCAGTGGAAGAGGTCAAACAAGCCGTCCACTCTTTCATCCGCGGTCAGCTGAAAGACTTCCACGCACGAGGCATCCAAAAGCTCTTAGTCTTAGTCTCAGTATCAGACTTGCTTGGATCGAGCTGGTTATGTGGAGAAGTGAAGTAAGCCCCTTATTTTACAAAAATTTCTTTGATTTTTCGTCAGTGATGAACGACTGAGGCTTTGGCAGAGAAGCTCTTCTCCTGTAAAGGGACTTCAAATCCTCGCGGATTCGGCGGGAGCGTCGAGCGCCTCGGCGCGTTCAAACGGCTCGCGTTCGGCCGCACATAGTCCGATTTTGTTGCGGTTTGTTTTGTTGAACTCAAAATATCCTAAGGAAGATTTTGAGCCCAAGTTTTTTTAAAATTGGTCCATTCTTATGGATTTTAGAGAGGGGGGATACTTACTTATTGAACGCCCCTCGTAGTTAAAATTATTGCCATTGTATCGAAGGGTTGCGAATGTACCTAGTCTACTCACTAATCAAAGGGGATCCTCTTGTTGAAATTTATTGCAATTTATATAAAATTAAAATACGTTGCAATTTTTTTTTGTGCATCACAAGATGCAAAAAAACCTTCTTTATACATGGAAGTCACTTTGATATTTTTTAAAAATCGGAATTTCTCTACCGATCGTTATAAAAATATCGCAATTTTATGATAGAAAAAAATGCAATTGCACCGCATGAAATTGCAACATTATTTCAAAATTTTCGTCTTATTGAGATACTTGAGAGCGCCCGGAATGAAGTGTTGATAAAATGGACAAAATTGTGTTCGAGCTGAAAATTTTAGTAAAAAGTCCTCGTACAACTGCCCATGGTCATCTGGAAGGCTATATTATTATTACAAGGAACTAAGTAATTTCATATTAGGCAAGACAGCAGTATGTGTCATCCTCTTCATGCGTCCGTAATTATGTTTTTGGCAGAAAACAATCGAATTTTAAGGTTAGCAGGAGATACTGCTCTCTCGCAGGATAAAGGGGACTCACTGCTGTCTCACATGTCTCGTCTTAAAAAATACGACCAGTTTCACTGTTTTGAAGGAATCAGTCGATTCGTTTAAAAAGCATATTACTAAAGTTTTAGACGATTTCCGAGTCAAATTTTGAATTTCGACTTGATTTTGAAAATTCTGTCGTTACTATCCTCTTCGGTTACACCGCAGTGAAGTTATCATGGATGGCACCAAGTTTTCTGAAAATCAAAGTGGCGCTGTTTTCGCAATCCAACTTCAGTGTGAAAACATTCCTCTGCACGAAGCGTATCTTATGACGTCAAACTCCATACGTCATTGTCGAGACGGGACTTTCGCTGTTCAAATGATGCCCAAAAGCCAAGAGATATCGCTCGTTTGCTCCATTCTCGCACATCACAAGGAAAATAGGAGAGGAGGGAGAGGAGAGAGGGGGGTCCAACGCAAATGATCACTGATAAAGGCTCCAATAAAAGCGATCTTGAACATTGCTCGCAGGTTAGTCAGTCGCCGACTTGAAACTGAAATTACACATTTCATACGCAGCACGCAAGATCAAACTAAACAAAACTAATTTTGAATTAAATTAAATTACGTTAAATCAAGCCGTGTCGCAGCCGTTAAATTGCATCAATCTGGATTACCGAATTCAGTGCTCTAACATCGCAGTTTAAAAATCCGGTTTTCGAAGATACACGAGAAAAACAGTTATAATTACAGTTTTGGATATTTTCGGTAGTCGTCGGAAGCTCGTATCAAAATGAGTTTACAAAAGTTAAACAACGATTTCAATGTCCACCGCAGTATTGATTGTTTGAACCTGAACATTCTGAAGGAGAACACGAACTCGCCTCCTGTGATCAACAAGAACAACAGGTTCACCAAAAACCTACTCAAACGAAGGAGCTCAAATCTCATCGCAGATCTCGCCTCAATAGGAAACCATGAAAATTTGTAAGTAATATCACAAGATCATCATTTCTTCAAGATGAAGGGGGGGGGGTGTGGTTCCAGCTGCTTTTGTCTCGACTACCTTAAGCTTTTGGCTGGTTAAAAAACGACGTCTTGTTTTACTTTTGACAGTTTTAAAAACAACTGTAACGTTGTCAGTTTTTCAAAGCGGCTAAACCGTTACTTTACATTTACCTATTGATCAGCCACTGTCCTCATCGTATTGTTTGTTGTTTCATTTATTTTTGTCATTGTCATTGTTGTGTTGGTGTTGCTGTTGTCGTTGTTGTTGTTGATGATGGTGTTAATAGTGTTCTTGTGGGTGCGTGGCTACTGTTTACAAGCCATTGCACGCTCTCATCATTAAATATTGTCATCTCTCAACTCTGCCTTAGTCCCGTTGCATTTTGACTCAAATTTTAACGGCATTACAACGATTTTTTCACCGAACCAGCGATTTAACATTCACCAGGAGAAACATAAAAGTAATGAACGTTTATGAATACCAATAGTAATGAACTTAATGTACATTGGTATGACGATAGCTAATCTCCCATTGTTGACTGCTAGGCTTCAAACCACTAAACGATTTCAAAACTCCTTCATTTCGTCGAATATGCAATTTGATCCCCGGGAAGTTAAAATAGTTGCTCGAGGTCAAAGCGAACTTCCGGCAATGGCGCGCGGCGGATGTGGCATCACCAGTTAAACCCTTAGTCAAGAAATCGCCTTCTCCTTACAAGGTTCCTTCATTTCGTTGGATATGCAATTTTATCTCCGGAGAGTTAGAATAGTTGCTCAAACACTTATATGCGTGGTTTTAAAACCCAGTTAAGAGCAACTCTGTTGTTACTTGCGCGGGGTTGCTTATTTCAGAGATCAGTTAATGAACGCGGGAGTTTTCTGAGTTTTCTTTTGCAATTAATGATTTAACTTGGGAACGCGGTACTCACAAAACTACATGATTTGGACTACATTTTGCAATTAGGAACTAAAAATTCCGGCTCGGTTTAAAAACAACTTATGTGCCATTAGTTTCCCTATGCACATACGTTTTTTTTTTTTTTTAAGATGGGACAGAATTTATAGCTCCAAATTGGAAAATGCAGTTCATTTAAAAGTCTCTTGATACATATGAGGATTTTAGTGGTTATTGTACACCCCGTTCTACACACGCGGGTGAGTAGAGGCACCCATAAAGTTTTTTTCTTTCATTTTTTTTTCGTTTATTAGTCGATTGATACCAGTTATAACCAGAGGCAGATCCAGCAATTTGGCAACGCCGGATTCCCTCCGTTTAAACCTATGTAAAATAATCGATGCTCTGCAGAGCACCAGACCCCTCCAAGAATCGATATACATTTCCGTAGGTGTAAACGGAGAACAACAATGTTGCCAATTTGCTGGGTCCGCCAATGGTCACAACCCCTCCCTAGCCAGTCCAATACTGGACATAATTGCGTAAGGCGATCATAGCATAAACTAATTCCAAATTGAGTTGCATGTAGGTCATACATAGATTATTTGAACTACTAGGAGGACAAGGTGCATTAGTGCAGTTTTTGCAATTTCAAGAAATACAAGCTTGAATTTTAAAATTACATGTATCCTTACGGCAGAAAGAAAGTTCAAACTGACTGTTCGGTGCTTAAAAATTACAATTTTGGAGCGACTTTTTCAAAGGAAATGCATTAAGACTAGTTTCACTTGAATTTATTAATATCTCAATTTTTCCAAAAACTGCACGTGTGCGCCTTGTCCTTCAAGCCCCTCATTTCACTCGATTCATTCTATCATTCTGAACAAAACAAACGCAAGTCTCCAATCCTGCAATCCAGTTTCAAATTCAATAGTCACTATCGACAATTTCTTTTAGGAAATTCTGAAACATTGACACTGAGAGGTGCTCTTTCTGCACCAAAGTCCTAAGTCAATTAGGTACGGAATCCACTTCTTTTTGGACTTGGTCTTTTTTCCTCCTTCCTTTCATGGAACGATGAAGTGTAGAACAAAAAATTGAAAATCGTTGAATCAAATGACTAATTGTGAGCATCTGCCCTTTGTCAATGAAAAACCTATCATAATGCAATTAAACTAATTAAGCTGATAACGATGAAAAATTTTTGTGCTATCAGCAAATTCATCTCGGTGAGTGCATTCAGTGCTTCCCTCGCGGCATGCTGCCCGCCTATCAATAGATATTGCTGTGTCGTGTTTTTTATCTTTAGCCTGTGTCAGATATGATCCATATAATTTCCAATTAATTACAGCCTTCCCGAACAATTTGATTAAATTTCATACTATTTCAATTTCTTTTTTTCTAATGCCATACTGACGAAAAAAATGATAAAGGGTTTTAATAATTATGCTTGAGAGTGTTTGGCGCAGTATAAATTTACTTAAGACGCGAGAAACTTGTTTCTGTGTTTTAAAAACTACGAATTACTAGGAAAACTAGGATTTAGTTTTGAATTTTTTTACTGAAAATTTTTCACAGCTCACTCGTTTTTTGGTGTTTTAAAGAAAAGTTCATTCGTTCTTACTAAGTTATTTGAGTTGTTTTAGGAAGAGGAACGGATAAAAGTGTTGACCCTACTTACATTTTTAATAATTTTGATTTGTCGTTGAAAAAGTTAATATTCATGATAAAAAGTTTTCTTGTGCTTAAAATTCTACAAGAAAAGGAATTTTCATAATGTCACGCATGAAGAAAGACATGGAGAAAATCAAAATTTTAATTCATTTTCATTGATCGCATATGGATATCCCATAAAATCAGATTTCTGTCAAATGTTTTTCGTCTTCTCAGCAATTGGCACAGAGAATGGCAAACCATTACTCTCTGATTTCATAATTATTACAGCACTTAGTGGAGGTTCCAGAATATAATGTCATCATTATTCAAGGTTCACAAGTGACAAATGAGATAAAAAGTGGCAATAGTTGCATCAGCAATTTCCATATATGAAGAACTATCAACTTTTTCATTAACTAGTCAAGGTTGCCAGATATAGGTCAGTTCATATTATTAAGGGTTGAGTCGGATAGGTAATCTCTTTCCAGAATTGTTTATGTTGTTTGTCTTTTTTGCCAAAAGTTTCTGCGATGTAGCGCTCTCCTTCTCACAATTACCTCGATAAAATTAAGTTAGTTTTTGGGATTTTTTGTTGGACGGAGTATCAAATTAAAGAAAGTTAGAAGAAATACAAAGTGCAGAAATACGATTTTTTTTCACAAACAGATCGGATAGTTTCTCAAATTAATCTTTAGAAAAGACTAAAACTCTTCTATTCTCTCTCAAAATTCTTCTATGGTCTAGAATTTAAATTTCGTTTTGGGAGGGGCAAATTTTTATCGTTGATTCATCATCTTAAAAATAGAGACATTGTGAAAAGACTTCCTATACTCATCAACTCCCTTGATCTGAATTTTCCCGCAGTCTATATTTAAAAGGTCATTTTATGTAAATATCAGGAAGGTTTTTCTTACGTTCGGACCACCTCCTATTCTTATGAGAGACACTATTTCTTTGACCCCCCAGCTACAACACTGCGCTTGCGAATTCTCAATTTTTATCGTGGTGCATTTTAAGGGCAAGCCCTTTTTTGCTCACAAGTGCACCTCTAGGTATCATTTTCCCCATTTTCTTTTCATCTGTTTTTTTTTCTTTGATCAAACTTTATTACTTAGTCGGGTATAAGGTCATTTACTCGGCCTCTTGTAAAGATAATCGAAAAATAATTAAGCCGCCGCTAAATTGCTGACAAAAGCCCCGCCTACATAAGCCTCCGAAACTTCACTTCAGTACATAAGTTCACGTTCGAGAAAACACGAGATATTGCAAAGACCGGCCTAAGTAAGGATTTTCACTGAGATTATCTGAAAGAAATTCAATCTGCAAATAATTCGTGCTAAATTTGTCTGCTAAAACCTTGGCTGCCGTTATCAGTGGCATTTTTGATCTCCTCCACTCATACGAAAACAAAAAATCAAAAAAAGATAGGAAGGATTATGCATCTTTCGCGTAACGAGAATCACCACAGCTCTCCAGTTTAATTGATAAAAAAGTTATGCAACACTTTTGACCTATCTTTCGAGTCATTGAATCGATCTAATGATGCAACAAATCCGCGTAAGTGTACTCCTACTTACTGTCAAAGTTTTCCATTGTCATCTTAGCTCTTTTTAAGTTAGTGAATCAAACATTTCGGAAAAGCTGAAAAGGAGGGGGGAGGGTCTATATTCTCAGGGAACCACGAAACTCATTTAAAGAGTGGACTTCGTGACTGAAATGTGTAACGCGATACCAAGTTTAACATGAATATAAAAGTCAATGCTAAGTTCAATTAAGGCCGGTTCTATGACCGTTTGTGACAACTGTCTGCTAGTGACAATAAGAGATCATGCTGTTATTATTCTTCCGTTAAAAAAAAGAAGAAGAACTGTGTCTATTATGTGGTCATTCATCTAATCGATGGCCGAAGTGCAGAATCATTGCGATGTTTCAAAATGTCCGCCCCTTAATTATCAATAACAACAGGCCAACTTTGTGGCTTGAAATTTATACAGAAAATCCTGCTAACAGAGAAGAAAAATCAAATAAGTATTCAAGATATTATATGGACCGCGTTCAGCCGAAAGGAACCGAGCCACATAGTGCTAAATTTAATCGGGCAATTTAACTTTTTACAAGAGAGCGTTTGTGCAGATTCCTTTGAAAATTTTAAGGAATTTGCTTCGTAAGATGCAAAAATTCACTGAAATTAGCACGGAAATCCGCACAGCCGCTTTTAAGTAAAAAATTAAATTGCCCGATTAAATGGCAATAGCTGATGTGGCTTGGTTCCTCTCTGCTTAACGCGGTCCATATTGACTAGTATTCTAAAAAAAATAAAGTGTGATTGGAAGTCTGCAACATTGCGAATGTTGCAGATAGGCGGTTCTGCACTTTGGCCGTCGTAACGTTGTACAAGTGTAAGGATCACAAAGTCCTCCCCCCCCCCTTTCCGGGGTTAACAGAGTTTTTGTTGAATCATGAAACGTGTCTTTCGTGATGAAGAGGGTGATCGATATCAAACCAACTGAATCCAAGGTGACGAAATCATCTTCATTTTCTTCTTTTACAAGTTTTTGAATGGAATAGCTGGAGTAATTCTGTGATTTCTTGTTGCAGCTACACTTATGAACTCATTCAACAAATCGCACAGTATTTACTCGACAGGACGAACATTCGCCCCAAGATCGGTATTATTTGCGGCTCAGGATTAGGTAAGAATTCAAACCTATGCATTGTAACTTTATACGTACCCATAAATCCAGTCAATTGTGAACATTTCAACGAATGATTGGTGTCAAAGGTCAATAGACATCTGCACAGAGAGAAATTTCAGTACAAAAATTTAGTTAATACGGGAAGTAAGACAAAATAACCCTAGCCTTCGGTTGACAATTTCATGAAAGAATACCAGCTAGTTTTCTTAAAGAAGTTTAATAAAAAAACGAGTGGTGAGTACCAAGAGACTAGAAAAATGCATTCCTTCGATTGCCGCAATCGAAGGAATGCATTTTTCTAGTCTCTTCATTGTTTTCTACGCTAAATTCACCGCAAACGGTACCATAATCAACACAAAATTTGGGTTGGTTTGTGTTTCACTTCCTTATGTATATTAACCAAAAGTAACACAAGAACACAAATATTTCTATCAGTGTGAGAGGATCTATGTCTTTTAGGGCAGGCGTGATACCGAGTTTCGTTGCGGGTCACTTTCAACTGCGCCGGAAGTTCCTTCAAAAACACCGAATAGGCAACCCCGCGACAGTCATGTTTAAATAGTTATCGCGCGCAGATCGGAAGGAGCTAAAGTTAACAATGCCTTCTCAAGCGGCTCCTGAACTCTAAATGCTGAAGAGAAATTAAAGCAAGGTTTTCATAAGATTGCCAATTTGTTGTTTTGGAGGAAACAGAGATTAATAAGATGGAAAATTTCTATCGAAGTCGTTATGAGCACACACGCTTTTACATACTTTTTTGCGATTTTGAACGTTCCTTTCGAATTTTAAAGTTCGAAATAGCGGGCGATCATTGTCGTAAAATTTATGGAACCACCCTGTGTTTTTTCGAGGTTCCTCAAAAACTTCATTCCAACAGTGGTGATATTCTCTCTAAAAATCAACATCAGAGCGAAATTCTGAAATATTAGTATTTGAGTACATTATCCTAGGCTGAATATAATACAAATCATTTTAAAAACAAGATTACCACAAGAACTTGTCAAAATAAAAAGGAATTTTAACTGTGTTCCCAGGTAATTTAGCTGATGTGATCACGGACAGTGTTTCGTTCCCCTACCATGAAATACCTCACTTCCCCGTGTCAACGGTGGCAGGCCATGTTGGGCGGCTAGTCTTCGGCTATCTGGATGGCGTACCCATCATGTGCATGCAAGGCCGATTCCACTATTATGAAGGATACCCTCTTTGGAAAGTAAGTTGGAAGCAGTGTATGCACTTCAATCCTGACATCACCAGGACAAAGGAGTGATTACAATCGATTTTGCGAAAAAGAAAAATGGTTTAATCGAGGGTTGTCGAGGAAGAGAGTTCATGTACTTTTTGAGGTAGTGATACAATCCCCAACGGTGTGCATTTTTTAGCTTTAAAAATGCAAAAATTCTGGAAAACTTCTTTAGACTATCTTTCTGGTACTCCCTACCATAGGTAATGTCTTCACGGTCCAAAATCAAACAGCAGGAAAATCTTTATCTCCAGAGTTCTTACCGAGAAAAAATCAACAACAAACAATCGCTTGAACTGATAGGGATAAAATTCTAATTAGCTAGAACCCGATTATTGTTTTTTCTGAGACTTTAAGTTTTCAGAATTTAGTCCTCCCACAAAAATTTTGCATTTAGTATTATTCCCCTTCAAAAATATACAATTTTCCTACAAAAATACATTGAGTCGTATAGTTTTTTTTTGTAAAATAAATGAAAACAGTACCTACAACAATTTTGAAACATGGCAGTGGAATCGAAGGATGGATACGTTACAAACGCATACCTATCTTTTTATAAAATGAAATTCCAACTTAAATTTTTATCAGCGTAGAAATTCCGTGCTCAGTTCAGCAGGATGATTTTTTTGCAAATTTAAAATGATCAGGGCCGGATTAAGGCGGTGGCAACATGGGCCGCGGCCCATGGCGGCAAATCTATAGGGGGCGGCAAATTTTGCAATTTTTTTAAATGTAGGTATAAAAAAATCGGATTTAGAAAAGAAATTACAAACGAGAGAAGGCGACAAAATCTCTCATTTCCTGAGAGTATAATAATTTCTAATTTTTTCGTCTTTCAGAGATACAAGAGACAGATCCTTTAATTATTCAAGTTAAGAGAGAAACCAAATAGTTAAAACACGCAATTTGGCCCGGAACTTAGGGAGAAATGATGATGAGGACTTGAGATGAAAAGGAGAAGCCCTCGGCGCGGCGATCGGCATGTAATGTAACACATATTAGCGCCTACAAGACTGCACGAATGCTTCACGCATTGCATCAAATAGAGTGCGGTCATAGCGGTCAGCGTAAAACGGATAGCGCCTACGAGACTGCGTGAATACTTCACACATTGCGTCAACCACAGTGCGTTCACTGCGTTCAGCAGCGGTCGGCGTGAAACTCACAGCGCCTACAAGACTGCCGGAATACTTCACGCATTGCGCCAAACACGGGCCGCGCGGCGCGGCGGCGGAAGTTAAAATCATTAATCCACATTTATGTTTGTTCTTTAATAATTTCTTTTTTCATTTCTTATGAATGGAAGGCCTTGTCCACACAGAGATAGGTTTACGAAACTTAACTTTCGCACAAAGTCCCGTGAACTTTTACTAGTAGTGTTGACAGGCTTTCGCAAAAAATGTGTCCGACACGAGTAAACGCGTCTTATGCATGCACCCCTCCCCCGCTGGCACGTTCATTTGATGGTTTTTATTGATGTTTCGAAACGAATGAGAAGGGGGCGGCAAAATACAGGCGGCCCATGGGCGGCAAGTAGGTAAATCCGGCCCTGAAAATGATAAAAATTTGGAAGCATATTAAAACCTTATGACAAACAATTACAAGGCTAATTTTCACACTGAGTACGCGCGCTGGATTCAAAATTGATTATGGAAAATAAGGTCTCAATGTGTTTGAAAAATGAGGAGGGAAGCTGTCAAAACTAAGTTTTTCGTCACCTTTTTTTTCAGTGCTCTATGCCGGTGCGAGTGATGAAACTAGTCGGAGTGTCCCATTTAATAGTCACGAATGCCGCGGGGGGTCTGAATCCGAAATACCGAGCAGGAGACATCATGATCATGAAGGACCACATCAATTTCCTTGGTTTTGCCGGTAACAATCCACTACAAGGAGTCAACGATGAAAGGTAAATACTCGTCGTTAATTACGTAGGTTTAGCCCCATGCACCGACTTTAAAAATACTGGGAAAAAAAACACATTGGATCTAGAATCCAGACTCTTGAAAACATTGACAAGAAAAAGGACTCTTGATTCAAGCAGATTTAAGCTTAAATCAAATGAAAATCCGCTCAAATTAAGAAGCTTGGTTCTTGATTTAAGCTTAAATCTGATTGAATCGAGAGTATTTTTTCTTGTCGGTGTTTTTAAGAGTCTGGACTCTAGATCCAGTGTGTTTTTTTTTTCCAGTGAATGTTAGATGTTACCTGAGGCATGAAAGTTTTTAGATTAATAAATGTTAAAAAAAACTATTCCACTACCACCACTGCAAAAATTTAAACTGATGCAACTTTCAAACTTGCGATCATTTTTGCGCCTTGAACTGAGATGGCAGGCAATGCATGCAGCCACACCTGAAAAGAACGCCATTTTAGGAAACTTGTTGAAATTCCTCTTCTAAAGGGGACTAATTTCAATAAAATAACTTGTTATGTATACAATAATGCAAATTTATTGATTTTCTTTTCCTGATAGAGTAATAAGCAAGCATTTTTGATGAATTCAGGCAAAAGGGGCCCCTAAGGCGGTCGAAATTTCAAGCTATAACTCGGATTATCAATGCCGTTATTTGTAAGCGTTTGAAATACGCGTTGAAATTCTTCTTTCTGAAGAGGGTGATGGTGCCGACGAAATTCATCAGCATTTCTCTTAAATTCTCAATTTAACTTCCCTCAACTTTGAAATTCTCTCCGGGGGTCGATAATTCTTGGGAATTTTGGTTGTTCTCTGCGCCAATATGGTGCAGAATTGGACCACATCTTGCTAACAAGGAACTACTACGTCCCCTATCATCCGTAGGTGCTTTTACAGTAAAAGCACCTACCTGTACAGGGAAACTATCGCGACTTATTTATTTAAAAAATGAGACAGAAATAGTAGGTAGTTCCTACTTGCAATGTGGACCGAGTTCGTCAGAAAATAATCAACTCACATTAAGTTGAAACTGAGGAAGAGAGGTTAGAAGTTTTACTAATGCATAAGGCTCAACGTAAAAAATGAACTTTAACTCCTCTTTTCACAAACAATTTTTATTTTTAGACTTTCAGTCTTTGGCAGGAGAAAATACATGTACGGCTAGTAGAGCTCAAAAATATTATTAACTCAATTTTTTCGAAAATGTGGGTTGGTTCCTTTCTGCTAAACTCGGTCCATATGTATAATCTAATTCACCCCACCAGGCTGAGGTTTAGTAATATCAGTTTATTTTCTTTCCACCTCAAAGGATTCTTCTGTCTGCCTCCGCATTACTTTACGTGTAAATGATGTTCCCGAAGGACCATTTGGATCTCTAATTATTATATTTATTATTTTAAATCATTAGGTTTGGCCCGCGGTTCCCGGCGATGAACAGGGCTTATAACGCCAGTTTGAGGAAGGCGGCGCACAAGATAGCGAAGGAAATGGGCATTGACAAATTCGTCAGGGAAGGAGTCTATGCGGTCTTGGGCGGTCCCAACTTCGAAACCATCGCAGAGCTCCGCATGTTGAGAGTGTGCGGGGTTGATGCAGTGGGTAAGTTCTGCTCGACAATCTATAATTGTCATGAAGTTTCAAACTAATAAAAAGATGGTACCATAAAAATTTCTCAACAGAATTAACAAATTATGTCCAATCCACTAATATGGTCATCCGAGATTGTCTTTGTGCCAAGAACTGAGACGATAGGCCACACCACCATTGAAAAATTTTGAAACTGCTTCAACTTTCAAACTTGTGATCATTTTTGCGCCTTAAACGGAGATGGTAGGCAACATGCAACCAACCTAAAAATCACGCTATTATAGGAAACTCATTGAAATATCCTCCTCTGAGCAGAGGCCTAATTTCAATAGAATTGCAATAATTTGCAATTGGACGTATTTCTATTAAACAGAACTGTGTGCAGGTGAAAAATATGGGGTGTGCTCTAGAAAGCTGCATAGGAGGCAATGTAAAAGTGGGCGTGATTCCTTTTGAAGAATTGAAAAAGCGGGATTTTACATTCTGTCAAACGAAACTATGTGCCAACTGAATGCGGGATTCATGAGCCGCGGGCATGGCACGAGAGCGTTGTGAACAGGGCTCATGAGTTAAAGCGCCCCGACGACGATCTCCCCCTCGCGCCCCGGCTTTTTTATTGCCGCTGACGTCACTGGCACTTTCTTATTCTCATTCACTCCTACGGCCAGAGAACTAACGAGCACACCCCATATTTCTCACCTCCACATAGGTCTGTTTGATAGAAATACGTCCAATTGTCATGTAGGTCTATGAAACAATGCAATTTTTTCCGACGGTCATCAATGCGTTCAGTCTGCGATATAGAACTTGTTTTAAAATACTGACCCTGGTAAAAATTGGCGATAGGAGCTGCGTTTCAAAATACCATAGGAATTCTTATAGCAGGCTAAAGAGGGCAATAGAAAATCATACAGCTGGCTGTAGAAAGCAGAGCAAATCATATAGGTAGCCGGGCTATACGAAGCGATAAAAAAAGTATACAGCCGCGGGCTACAGCTCCTATCACCGGGCTTTATACTCTATCGCCATCGGTTATAAAAGGCTGTAAGAAACTGTGTGGAAATTCGTGCGCTTTGGAAATCAGTAAGTTTGATACGGAACCACTATAATTTTTACAAAACACACATTATATTCTCCTTACATACTTTTTATTTTTCATCAAATAAAATGAGAATAATCCATACAGGATGTGCAAATATTTTAAAATCATGGTTTGAAAAACGCTGACTCCGCGAGATTATATATTGGAGCCTAACACAGAGCGGAGCGGCATGCTGCCAGAGTTAAACGCGCACTAGGGCCTACAAACCTAACAGGGATACTTCACGCATTGCGCAATGCTTGAAGTATCCCTGTTAGGTTTGTAGGCGCTAATGCGCTTTTCGCGCTGGCTACCCGCCCGCCGCGCCGCAGCGTGCCACGGCGCTTGAAGCAACTATTTCACACCAGAGGTATTGCACAGTATCATACGAAATTGAAGGCGCTCCAACATATTAAGAATGACAGGCATCCTTCAAAAGTACGCAGCTTTCCGCGCAAAATAAATCAATATACTACGGCCCAAAAATAGAGCGGTTGTCCAAAAACTCATAAGTCCTAGCATCCGTTATTAGTAACATTTAGCATACACTTTATCGCCTGGCTGTTGCTTAATCGCCATCAGCTATAAAAGGCTATAAGAAATTGTGCATCCGGCTATAGAAGCTATTGAAAATATTACAGCCGGCTTTAGGTCTATGGTATTTTGGAACACAGATTCTACTGCCAATTTTTACCAGGGGATCCTCAGGGGCGCGCCCATACAAATATTTTTGGCGAACTAGTGAAATAACAACATGTTTAAGTATCAATCAACAGAAGACCAAAGCCCTCCACACCCTCACCCCCTCTTCAGTAATTGATTTTAATTCACCGCCTTAATCTTTGAATGTTTCTGTGCAGGTATGAGTACGGTGCACGAAGTATTAACGGCGCAACACTGTGACATGAAAGTGTTCGCTTTCAGTCTAATCACGAACAAGTGTGTGATGGATTATGAAAGTATGGCCGAAGCGAACCATGAGGAGAACATCGACACGGGTCTCATGAGAGAAGGCGTCATCAAGAAGTTGGTCACTAAAGTCGTTGGACATATATCAAACCACGACCTTGCAATGTCATCGAAAAATCCTTAATCTAGTATTGCTTAGCTTGAATGGAACCCTCAAGTGCTCAATCTGTTTGCAGTTGGCTATTGAAATTTCTTAGAATATAAAAAAAATGCAGCATTGAGTACAAATTTGATTGGAAAAACGGGTCGATGGAAAAACGTGGAGTAACGAAGATTTTTTAATCGACCAAACAGCTTTCCTAGTCCTTTCTTGCTGGAAAAAAAATTATTTTCATGTTTCCTGAGGAGGACTGAGGAGAGAAAGGATGCGGCACCTGCCATTCTACCGTGCCAAGGAAAAATTTCGTTTGAGCATTTAAAGGTTGTCCAATTTACCTCGAAAAAATGTTCCTTTTTGAGAGAAGATATGACTATTTGTCTTCGACATTCCCAAATTTAAAGGAGTATAAATTGTGAATAAAATTCTACGAAAGATTCAAGGGAATTTTTTTTAAGTGTTTCCAGGGATTCGGTATTTTATTAAAAGACATTTGTCAACGTCCAAATGTTCAAACGGTGTTTTTCTTTGGCACGATAGAGTTAGTCGATGTCCTGAACGATGCGATACGACGTTGATGGCAACGCCTTCAGGATACAACTATTCGTGCTTGACGGCCATCAAAGTTGCATACACACTACATTGCAGGCGCGTACTATCTTGCTTTCACGAAGATGTATTCTATTTCTTAGAAACAAAATATATTGGAAGTCCCGTTCCCAAATTTAAGTGCGACCTTTAAGAGGCACACTCCACAGTTATTGGCGTGGACCAAGGATCACCACTATTTTAGCCCATTGGTTACCGCTATGCTATTAAAGTTTTTCGACAGTGTAAGTCGGCAATCACTTAACTCGGTTTGTGACGTCGCAAACTTCCTATCATACTTTATTTTTTAAACGGAAAGCTACTCAGCGGCTATTCTTTAAAACTGCAGTGACTTCAAAACTGCAAAAACTTCAAGGAATACTGTCAATTTGTTCTCCTTTAAAAAAATAACATAGAGGCGGAGAATTTCAGACACCGCAAACGAGTTATGTGATTGCCGATTTACACCGTCGTTTTGCCTCGCCCTTACACTCACACTCACATACGTTAAATACCTACATGAACAGTGACATGCGAGTTGACATGTTACATGAGACATGTTACAAATTAAAGTTCCTATGATTACAGCAGTCAATTGGAAAGCCCTCCCCTTATTTGCGATACAGATTCAATGCCCCGCCCTCTCCCCCCCCCCTAAATTGTCCACCTACGCCGGCTGGATCAGTGGGGCCACAACAAATATAAGTGAACATTATTATTGCACATGAAAAATTAAAATAACGATTTTCTTCAAGGCTGAGCGTTATTCCTTTCTACTTTGGCCAGCATAGTGCCCTTTACCTACATTAAAATACTTCAAATCATGATTCTAATCAATCGCCAAATGCAAAAGTTTTGAAGTTTTCTGAACTGATTGGTTGGAGGTGTTTTGGAACTAAGGTTTTTTGAACTTCTGGTAACTCTTGATGTAGGTATCAGAAACAAATACTTTGAAAATGTACAGCGCCCATAATAGTATTACAGTATACACTAAGTGATCATTTCATTTCATAAAAGGGATATTAAAAATTACGAATTCGAGGAAAAGAAAAAATTATTGATCATTGAAGACTCATGTTACTGTGACCATAAAATTGTGAATTCCTCTATTTTTACCTAGAATAATCTGCAGTCTGGAGTGTTAAGAGAAAAGTACAACAGGTCCGTTATTGGATGTAACATTTTTCATTGCTGTGCTACTTATTAGTGCTTAAGTAAAATGTGAGAAGCTTCAGGAATTAGGTGAAAAAATTGAGGGGAAATACCAAACGACCAACATTGGAAATATATGTATTTAAACGTTGAAAGTCAAGACAGGTATACTTAGAGCTGAAAGTATACGGTGGCTCTGCGTAACCCGCCGGGAGTATACAGACGTATTAATCCCCGTGTCATTTAATGATTAGAATTTACTCCTAAACATTTTATTGTTTTAATTTGATAATTATATTAACAGTTTGAAATCCTTAATTATGAATTCTTCATACTTTTGGTTTCATTATTAGTTCAGTTAGTTTAGTTAACTTCTAGTTATTAATTGATTTTCTACGTATTTTTAAGTTGCCAAAGTGTTTCTAACTTATTTTTGCATTGTAAGATTTAACTTGTATTATTTTTATAAAATATCTCAAAATAAATTTTGTAAGAGAACGTTTTTTAAGAAAAGAGTTTTTTTTTTTTCAAGTCAATTGAGGACACCACACCAATAACAGCCTATAACTGGATACCGCGTTTTGAGAAAAACGTATTTAAAGTTTTGTTTTTGATGTACTGCGCAGACTTTTCTATGCAGGTACCCTGTTATGGTGTTTTTGGGTGACCTAAACCCTTCTATTGAAGGATGCCGTGTAGATTTTGCGATACATTTTGGGTTTACACTCTAATATATTTATTTTAAAAAAACTGTTTATAGGCCATTATTACGCCCAACAGTCATTTTGGTGGCAATATGAAGTATAAATCATTTTAATCACGCATGATTAACGCAAAATGAAAGAATATCGATAGTGAGTAAAGAAAGGGGTAACCAGCACCTTAGGCCCTTAAGTTTTTTTTTTTTTTTTTTCTGTTGTTTTATGGCTTTGTGTCTAAGCACCTGCAGCCAACTTTAGACTAGTGTGATAGTTTAGAGAGAAGGTTACAGGTGGCTAGTTACCGACTTTAGAGGTGTGAAAAAGAAAAAACTAAAAACATGGAAAAAGGTGAGAGGTTGATAAAAAAGAGGAGTTGAGTAGGGAGAGGGTGAGAACCCTTCACCATTTTCACGCTCTGATACCCGGCAGAGCGACTTCCTATGACCAGAGACTGGGTAATGGAAAACAAACAAAGTGAACATACGGTGGGGATTGAATGTGTTAGATAGAATGATTTGTTTGGACATCAGGTAGATTGAATAAAACAAAGGGTAAGACGGTTGGTGGGAGTGAAAAAAAAGTATAGGGAGATTATTAGTGTAAGAATGAAGATTTGGTAGATTAAAGGTGGATGTCATTTTTATCTAGAAAAAGGGCTATGGATTTAAGGGTATTGAGGTCGCCGACCGAAAGAAGATATAGGGTTGAATAGGGTGGGAAGATTTCAAATTTATTTATAAGTTCAGAAAAAAGGGTATTTCTATTTTTAAGTTTATCACATTGGAAAAGGATATGTTCTAGGTTTCCAATGGAACCACATTCACATAAATTAGAGGTTGTTAAGTTAATTCTAAACAAGTGAGTGGGGTACAGGCCATGACCAATTCTAAGTCTAATTAGATTCGTGATAAGGGAGCGTTTCCAGTTAAGTCTATAAAACCAAGGTTTACGAGAGAGAGTAGGGAGAAGAGATTTTAGTCTTTGGCCTTTCCACGTACAAGCTAGGCCCTTAAGTTTATAGGCCCATTTACAGGTCGTTCTTGCACCCATCGATCCAGAGGCCTGACTTAACTCGAAAAAAAAGGTTTTTCGACCTCGAGCCGTTACCTATCTATATTCTATCGCTACCACAGATGTCTGTGAAGTTAGCACCCCGACTTTTAAAATTTAAAATTTTCTCTTTTGCTCATCATTGCTCATCATTTGCTCACTTCGAAAATCGCTTTCATTTTTTTTTGCTGAGGCATGTACCTCCCAAAAATCGAACTTGAACTTTCAAAAGGGTCATTGACCTTAGCACCCCCACTTTGTCCGATTGACCTGAAAATGGTCTCAAACGACGCAGAATCATTTGCTCACCTTTGCTCAGCCCTTAGTTTTTGTTGCTCACCCCTCCGTCCTCCCCAAAATGAAAGGCGGCATTTTGGGGGACATCAAAGGCAGCACCCCCCACTTTGTCCTATTGAGCTGAAATCGGTGTCAAACGACGCAGGATCATTGGCTCAGCCCTTCGTTTAACCGTTGCCCGAATCCTACCACCTCCCGAAAACGAATGGCGGTTGCGAACATAGTCGGTGCGCTCCCTTTTGCCCAAAATATGTATGTATTTTCTAATATGTATGTAATTTCTAAGGAAGTCTGCAACGTCGCAAATGGAGAAACGTCGTCTCTCATTTTGCCCAAAAATATTTATGCATACAATTGAAGGCATTATCATTTTCCTCTCACAACTTATATTCGTCTATAAGGATAAACAATGGGACGCGATTGCTACGGCGCCTTGATACAACTATACACCCTCGACGGATGTCCGAATTGCGTTCAAAAAATTGAAGGCGTTTTGACTCCCTGCTCATACTACCTGTAGTTGATTCGATCGACAGACGCGTTGGTCGGCGGTGACGGGGACTTGATGCAACTATTTAATTTGCTCGTCATTTGCTCACCTTGAAAATCGCTTTCATTTTTTTGCTGAGGCATGTACCTCCCAAAAATCGACTTGAACTTTCAAAAGGGTCATTGACCTTAGCACCCCTAAAGATTAGGGGATTTTTCAGATTATTTTTTTTTCAGATTATTATACATCCTTAAAAAAATAAAATGCTATCTTTCCAGAGAATTGTCCATGTTTATGACCACTAAAAAAAGTTAGGAAAAAATGTGAGGGACAAGCTGCAATTTAGTTTTACTATGATGAGGACAACATTGGGAAAGCTTCACTATACTTCAGAACAAAGAAATACTTATTGAAACAAATAAAATTTTAAAAAACAATTTTATTCCGTATATAATGTACAAACAAGATTGTGTATGAAACACTATGACTTCAAATATAGCAAGTAGGTACATATTTACAAAAGTATCTTAGACATATATAATTTCAGTTCACATGTAAAAATTTCTCATGAGATGAGCAGCCGTAAATTTTTCATTAACAATGCTCCTGATTACCTTCCACATTTTTCACCAACATGGTGTTAGAAATAATGAATGAAAAATATAATTACAAGAGGCACACAGCTATGCAACACAGAAAAAAGACGTGACTAATTTTATCATGAATCCTCACACCGTATACCAATATATGCTGTAATCAATCTTTTAGAGTATTAATCTCCATGCTTTTCAAAGCTGATATTTAAATTGAAGTACACACACACGCTGTCAGAGCAACGCTTTGCTAACTATGCAGCTGCAAAATTGGAGACAAAACATACAAAATTTAATAATCATATAATACGCAATTATTTTTTAGGAGCAGACTGCATGGTATTTGCAGGCATTTTAGTGATAAATTACTTTACAAATGTTTGCTTTTTTGAAAATTTCAACAAATTAAACAGGTTTGATTGCCCGCCTTTACAGTGCTTGAAGAAATTTAGAGGGGTATGGTATACATTTAGAGGATGGATCCATTAATTCAATCAGTAAAATCAATGTACCATTAGGTCTAACATTCAGTTGATTTATCTGATGTTTGACATTACACGCTGTCCACTCAGACGACTCACACCAATATTTCAACAGCTTCTCATCTCACTAGTTATAGTCTACTATGATCGGAAATCATAAGGTACTTAATGGCAGATTAAAATCATTTTGGTGACATGGCAAAAATAAGACAGGCTTTTAATTGATATTAAAGCTAAAGTTTAAGAGAGCAAAAACAAGCTTGAATCCAAAACTGGTGAGACAAAAGGTTACATTAATTACTTTAATACACATTATGGACAGGTGAAGGAAGGAGAGGAGTCCTGCTTATGTGCCATGTCACATTTGAAGATCATTGATTGGAAGTGAAAACTTGAAAAGCTTGCAAAATATTACAGAAAAACATTTCAACAATTAAAAGCAAGCTTTTGAAGCATAAACTAGCTTCAGTGGCTACAGCAGAATTTCTGGTACATAAAATGGAATTCATTCGTTGGAAACCAGTTAGATGAAGAACTTAGGAAGAAGAGGAATGATAAAAGAGCTGAAAAAAATTGGATTGACTTACATTATTAGAAATGTAAAGAAAAGAAGAAGAAGAGGAATAAAAGGTCTGTTAAAAGCTTAGAAAAGAGCTTACACTGCAAATTCTTTCAAATTTAACAAGACGGTTAATTTGTTTCTGGAGAGAAAGAAAAACTCACATGCATAAATAATTGCTAGGAACTTATTTTTGTTCTATTTTGAATAATTTTTTAATTTCAATTCATTTGATCCTGAATGAAAAGCATTCATCAGATGACAAAGATACAGTGCGTATTAAAATGAAAGTTTCGCTTACGCTAGTACATACGTAGGAAGTTGATCATCATAGAAAGCCAATCGACAGACTGATAAAAACCTTTTCCAAGACAAAAAAAATAACTGCTACTTTAAATTGCTGCTGCTTGAAATTGTATTAATTTTTATGATGAAAAAATTTCAGGACAAAAAATGGGCGAGTTAAATATTGTTTGGAAACTTTTGCTTGGGTAGTAATTTGAATCAATGAAAATTACAGGATCAAAAATTTATAAAGATTTTTGAAACGAAATGGATAATTGGTTACCCGCCCTACTTTCCAATACTTAATTTAAGTATTTTAACTTAGATTTTTTATTTTTCCTAAAAATTTAACTCGACTAATATTTTCTTGAAATACTTAATCCAGAGAATAACATTTTTTTATTGAGTCACTGTTGTATGCAGGTGTCTAGGGTAGCTACAAATTATAAATTCAAGTGCTTTCATGGAAAGCATGGAATTTCCTGGGGCACCCTAAAGTAGAGAAGGGATTTTGGGAACCCAAACCCTGGAGATCAGTATTTGAATACAAAACTATGTACGAGTGGATTTGTGTTCAAATTAAATTCAAGGGACTTATGTACAATTAAAAAATCACAGCACTTATATGACTTGGTTCCTATGGTCAGTACCCTCGAAGTCCATTGTAAATGTTGATCTTAGATTCTTGGTTCAATAACTGCTTTACAGCTGAAAAAGAAAAAAAAGTAAAATTCAATAAGCTAAAAAATGGTAAAAAGTTAGCAGAAATGGGTTCCTTATCGAGTTATGAAGTAGGAGCCTACAAAGAAAAAATTGTTGAATGTGGAAAGCTAGATCATGGCCCTGAACCAATTCACCAAAGAGGTACACACTCAGAAACTTTCTCGACCTATTGATCAAGAAGCCTCAATGTTCTGTGCGTAGCGTTTTCTTTTTTTAGTCTTTTTATACAAAATTGATGGCTGAACTCAGAAACAAACCGTCTCAATCACAGGATTTCAGAATAACTGCTCACTATTTAACTTGTTCAAAGAGAAACAAGCCTACTTCATTACTTGAAATTTTCTTCATACAGAAAGGAAAAATCACACGAATAACTTTTCTACAGGATTAGTACTAATTAATTTTCTTCTATTAAATTCACAATTAAAATATTACACAAAATCAAAGCAAAAAATTGCACGACAGTAAAGCTTAAAAGTGAAAGAAAAAAAAATGAAAAATGCATACAGAGAAAATTCATTCGTATGGACTTGAATGTTCTTTTGGAGTTGAAAGCCTCTTCTTTTTAAAAAAACAAAAAACCTGAATTGTAAGTTGAAATGACCAATTCTTGATATTTTGTTTGGGTTCGATTTTTTGTACCTTGATTGTCTCCAAATTGTGTGTCCAATTAAATACAAAAAATGAATTGATTTAAAATTTTTCATTTTTTTTTTACTTCACTTGTCTGTGCTCATACACATTAATGTACTAATAAGATGAACAAAGCTAGTAAAATTTTACGTCCAACAAAAAGTTATGAACAAAATCAGAAAAATCTTCACTCAATATCTCCTATCTGTGTCCAATTGTAGGAGATAAAAACAAAAAAATTGAGAGAAAATTTTTCAGACATATTTCACGAGTATGTAAATTTTTTTATAGATTTTTGTTTTCAAAAATTGATACTTAGTTTCATCTTTCACCATAAATACATCTTGTTTACGGTAGTAAATAAGTCGATTTTGTGGGTTTAAACATCAGAGGTCATAGTTAAAGGATAAATTTATAAAGCAGTACCTTCTTTCTGCTCTTCAGTAAGCTCTGTCTTCGGGAAAGCTATGTCAAGAGTTACATAGAGTGTTCCTTTTTGGCTATTGTCATGATAGTTGGGCATACCCTCTCCTTTCTTCCGTATTCTTGCACCAGGCCAGGTGATCTTTTCTCTTTCGATTGATATCTGAAAAAAAAAAAGGTGTTAGAGCAAGGTAACTATTATTTCATCCATATTTTGGCATTAACTCTTTTGTATATCATTTAATGACAGTAAAGTTGTTTCAACAAGTCTTCAACATTTCGCATACTTGGAAACTTCCAATGCAGTAAGAATATATCTCAGTAAGTATTTATATCAGTAAGTATCAGTAGGCATAACTCTCTCTCCCTACACAAAAATAGAAAGATTCAATTATTAATGACTGTTGCAACTTAAAATGACATTGTTTGGGGGGAAACATCAACAAGAATCTACGAACAAAATTTTTAAGAGGTAAGAGGATCAAAAATAAAAATTAAATAGACTGCATACAAAATAAGATTCACCTTTTTTAACATTCCGCCCTTCTAAACATTAAGCAACCAAAATCTTCAAAATAAGGAGGAGAGATATGTTGACTACTATTATTTTCGAAAAATTGAAATGATTCAGGAAGCAAAACCTTACTGACATACCTTCCGTCCATCTAGATGCTGAATATCAAATTTAAAACCGACAAGCGCATCTTGGAGTGATATTGTTACATTGGTGTACAGATCATCGCCCCTTCGTTCAAAAACAGGGTGTGGGAGCGTTTTGATTCGTAGGAAAAGATCACCAGGGTCTCCATCAATATGTGGCTCTCCTTCCCCAATGAAGCGAGTTTCTTGACCATCAACCATTCCTGGTTCTATTTCTGCCTCCAAACCACGCTCTTCATTCACCAATCTGAAATCGATAGGATCAAGTTACTTATTGATTCTAGGTAAACTACTTAGATCATAGAAAAGCTCTCTCTTTGATATTCGTTTTATACACAAGGAGCTGTGAAATAGAGTCCTCGCCAAAATTATGAAAATCAAGTTTTTAGCATAATTATGCAAAGGAAATCTGACATTTTGAGCTTAGGTTTTTGGAAGAAGATAGAAAATTCGCCTTGTCATAATATTTTGAAAATGGTTCTTGAAAGCTCTAGGAAAACTAAAACGTAGAGAAAATTAAGAAAAATCTTTGGACTCTGAAAAGGGTGGAGGAAAACCTGAAGTCCTTTTTCTGTTATTCAGGGTGGTAAAAGATTTAAGAGGAGAAAAAATAATCAAGCTCTTATGAAAAATTTGTTTAAAAACTCTCATTAAAAACATTTTAGATGAATTTTCAAACCAACCCGATTGTTTCGTGATTGATGGAGCCAAAGAAAACGGACTTACTTGATGTTCGGACATTCATCACAAACAGTTTCTTGCATCATCTGGAACCGCGTTGGACCAAGCCTTTTAGCCTTCATTTCTTGTCGGCAGTTGCACTTCCTAGTTCCCTTGGCTGCTTTTATCACTGGTTTATTTCTTGTTATCTGAAGAAAAAAAATCAATCAATAAGAAGAATTTTCAAATGGAAGAAAAAAGAGGGGAGGAAACATATTAACAGGATATATAGGAAATGAATCATGGATAAAAGGGCAGAGGGGAGTCCAGCCTTTTTTTTCTCTCAATAAAGATTCTATTTACTTACTCCATTAACCTGGTTTGACCATAGCGTCCTGACATTGACAAATTTTGAGTTTGGTTCAAATGAGGGGCTTGGAGGTCAAGGCACCTAAGTAAGTGCAGTTTTTGCAATTTCAAAAAATACAGGGATTAAGTTTCAAAATTACCTGGAGCCTAATGGCAGAGAGAAAGTTAATACTCTCTTTCAATGCTTAAAAATTGGATCTTGAATGTGAATTTTTCACAGAATGTATTTTAATAAAATTAGATTTTACCGAAATAATTAATCTCTCGTTTTTTTCAATTGTACTTGTGTAACTTGTCCTCCAAGCCTCTCAAATATACCTAAGACACAGGCCACAAGCATTGATAAGGGTCATGAGAAAATATTTCCTTTCCTTAAATGTGAGTTCCCATGACATAACTCAAAGAGCTGCGAGCAAGGCAAGCTCTCTTGAGAGTGATGAATAAAACCGAGTTTGAGAATGTTTTCTTGACTGAATTGTGCATGCTCTTCACTCTTTTTCCTTTTTCATGATAGTGATTACCTCAACAAAGTTGCCATTGTAGAGTTCTTCAAGCGTGACATACAAATCCATGACAACGTTGCCTCCTTTGGGTGTTTCACGTTCCTCAGTTGGACCACCTCCAAAATGAAATCCAAAATCGTCAAATATACTCGTGAATGGATCCATGTTGTCCATCATACCCTCCTTTCTGACGCATTCTTCTCCACACTGGTCGTACTTTTTACGTTTGTCAGGATCAGACAACACCTAATTAGAAGAAAACGAAATCAACACTTTTAATCTATTTTCAACTTTTTTAAGAACTAAACATAAAACAAATGTGAATTTGAACCTAAATCAATACAAATCTAGTTAAAAACACTTGCAACTTAGTATATTTAATAGTGAAATTACTCAGTATCAACAGCGTAAACATTGATAATTTAACCCAACCTGAAAAGAGTAGCTCACCCAGAAGATTGACCGATTTAAATTGAGATCCATCTTCTTCCAAATGGTAGCAAAAATAAAAAGTCCAGTTGAAGTAGTCACTGGTAAGAAAGACCCTTATTAATATATCTCTTTCCTTCATTTTAAGCCCTGCTATTTTTAAATTACCTACATCATGATACCTGTCATAAACATTTTCTTTCGTTCACTTACTTCATAAGCAGCTCCTAGATCTGTGAACTTCTCTGATGCTGTGGGATCTTCTTTATTTTTGTCTGGATGAAGCTGCACAGCCAGTTTTCGATACGCTTTCTTAATTTGGTTGGTGGTTGCTGACCTTGGCACATCAAGTATGGCATAGAAATCCCTCCTGAAAAATCACCAAGAATTTAGTACCTACATGCATTCTGTTTGCAATTAACACCTTAAATGCTTCATTATAGTTTTAAATGGGAAAATATTGATGGCCACAAGTTGACGCTTTGCCACTTTCAGTAGCCTTTCGTCTGGCATACAGTAAAGCAGATTTCTCCTTCCTTGTACTTAGGTGTATAATATGCACATAAGTAAATACTATTTGATGTGTGAGTGGAGAGCTACTGTTTAAAGTCATTAAGGAAAGGATATAAAAAAATGAAGAACTCCCAGAGTACCTCCAGACGTAGCTCATGGAGCCTTCTTTCGAGTTAAACACTGCATCCGCCCCTTGCGGAGATAGTGCTACTTGCTATAGCAAACCCTAACTCGGTTTGGTTGGTATGATATAAGAAACCATACATCCTGTGGATCCAGCAAGTCACTTGCCGCCAGTAGAACATCCATTGATGTGCGAATTCTCCCTCCCTGAGAGTTGTTCCGCCTCTACTCATGTAGAGCTCCAACAACAGACAGGATACGGAAACTGACTACAAATAAAACTTTGATTCTGCCCTATTTGTGAGACTTTCATTCGCCTTTATCGGCAAACTGGCTTCCTCCGATGTCAGAGAATACATCTAAATAATCAAACTGGCATTGCAAAAGGTAAAATACTGACTTGTGTCGGAACATAACCTCAAAAGTAAAAACTTACCCGCTGTAGGCAAAATTAATCCAAACTGTCACATGAAATAGAACAGAGCACCAAAAATGAAACGCAGCCATTAATTTGAGTACACTACGGCTAGGTTATTTACAATATTTCACAGTAAAATAAACACAGGTGATTCTATGGCAAACCGTGATTGTTTACATTCCGGCACGATGGACAACTCACACAACTGGAAATTCGTGGAGAACTGTCATTGGTTGTACACAGTGGATACATTTTTCGATCCGGCCAAGGTTCTCGTTTGATTGGAGCATCCGGAACGAGGAAAGTCATGCCTGCAATTTCATTGGCTTCGGCGATTTTATGGCTCTCGAACCGCGAAACGCTTCCCGTTTTGAACCAATCCGATTTCAGGGTGCATACCGTATATATTTATTCATTTATTTATTCTCTGCAGATGAAAGGGATTGAAGTGTGAACTTACAATTAGAATCTTCGATTATTCATCTTGAAATATGTGAAGAACGGTAGAAAAATTTAAAATCATTTCGAGATCTTCCATTTCCACCACTTATCCTTCGGAAATAGCCCCCCCCCCCCCCCCCCCCNGACACCCGGTGCGGTCTCTTCTGGAAAAGCTAGATTTTTAAGGAAAATTTCGCTTTCTCCGGAAAAATTCCGGGATAAATCGCACTAATACAGGTGAATGAAGGTAATCTTCTGAATCAGCGCCAAACTCCGAAACCGTTGGCAAATCTTCGGCAATTCAAAAAGAAGAAAAAAAAAAAAGAAAAAAAAAAAA